GGGGGGAGGAATATGAGGAGGAGGGGGAGGAGGAGGAGGCGGAGGAGGAGGAGGAGGAGGAAGAGGAGGAGGAGGATGAGGAGGATGAGGAGGAGGAAGAGAAGGAGAAGGAGCGAGTAGGAGGAGGAAGACGAGAACGGGGAGAAGGGGGAAAGAGGGGGGCCAAAGCCGGGGGGGGAGGACAGCGAGTGGGCGTGCCCGCGGGGCCGGATGGCCTGCGGTACTCTCAGCGCGAGCAGTGCGACCGCCTGGGACACCGCGGTCAAATATGGTCGTCGTCGTCGTCGTTGTCGTCGTCGTCGTCGTCGTCATGTATTTGTATATGTGTATATATGCATAATGGGGAGCTCCACCGAAGGCCCCGGTGCCACCGTCCACATGCGTCTCCCGCACTCATTTCGGCACACCCCTCACACGGTTCGTGGCCCCATAGGGAGCTCCACCGAAGACCCTACTGCCACCGTCCACATGCGTCCCCCACACCCATGTCGGCACACCCTTCACACGTTTCGTGTCCCCATGGGGAGCTCCGCCGAAGGCCCCAGTGCCACCGTCCTCGTGCGTCCCTCGCACCCATTCCAGTACCACCCTCACATGTTTCGTGACCCCACAGGGAGCTCCACCGAAGGCTCCAGTGCCACCGCCCGCATGCGTTCCCCACACCACTTTCACACGTCTCGTGGCTTCATAGGGAGCTCCACCGAAGGCCCCAGTGCCACCGTCCACATATGCGTCCGCCGTACCCATTTTGGCACACCCCTCACACGGTTCGTTGCCCCATAGGGAGCGCCACCGAAGATTCTTACAATTGCGGTACGCACAACTGCATATGGTTGGGTCCTTCGCCAGGCTAGCTTGGACTCTCTGTTTTGAAATCGTTGCGAAAACGAGCGTTTTTGATGGATTTTGGTATGCGCGAGCGACGACGCGCGCGCGCGTGCATTTCGTCCCATTTGTTGCAAAGGGTTTTCGCGACGGCACGTGCGCAAAGGCGTTCGAACGGTTTCGACATGCGCGCGCGAAACCCGTTGGGTCGCATTTTCTGAACATGATGAAACACCGATGGTTTTTCTAAAGCCTTCGCAAAGGCGCGCGCGCAAGCTTTTTGGAAATCCGTGTTGCCGAACCCTGTGTTTCCATATATGATTTTGGAGCACTCGATTTTGATATCCTTACGGAACCGACGGTTTTTGATTTCGGCATGCGCGCGCGA